ACACTTCCCTAGTTTCCCTTGTTAGAGCAATGTATCTTAACCTTTTTCTTTTTTTTTTTTTGTTGCGGCACACTTTTTACGATTTCAGAATTTGACAGCACACAATGAAAAAAAATTAGACGTGTTAAATAGTTTGTGATAATAATATGTGCTACAAAAGCACGTTTATTAAGGGATTAATTATTTCTTTCGAATGATTTTTTATTAGTAAGTAACAGTTATTTATTTTTTCCTTCTTTTTGCTAGTTATTAATTGTTAGCTTGTTTTCTATAGTTATTAACTGTTATTTTTTGTGATTTCTTGTTAACTAGTTTTTTTTGCTAATATATTTTTAGCTTATTTTTTTGTTAGTTATCCTTTCCTAATTTGTTTATATATTTGGTTTTTTAAAGTTATCCTTTGTTAATTTGTTTATATTGCATAGCTTACTTTAATGATTATCTTATATTTCCATTTGTAAGTTAATATTTAGCTTGCTTTCCTTTGTTAATAAATTATTTTAATAGTCATTAAATTCCCTACTTATTTCAACATTTTTTTAAGACTGCGTGTCAAAGACAATTTAATTATTCCATCTTATTTTAAGATTGTCAGAGACAAGGCAATCGCCGACAAAGATGTTCACATGGTTAAAGCGTAGAAAAATTATAAAAAGTATATATATACTTTTTATGAACATTTCAAGCACATTTTAAGAATTTGGCAGCACAAAAAAGAGCCGCGGCACTGCGGTTGAGAATCACTGGCTTAGAGAATCGACACACGGATCAAAAAAGGGCATGCTGCATTAGACACTCTTTTGTAAAACTGTCAATATTCAAGCGGCAATGCTGTATATTTGATTAAATAATTAATTCTTTTACAACAAAAAATACTATAAGAAAAAGCTTATCGGTTCAGTTTTAATTGTATTTCTTAATATTCAATTTTACTTCTATGTATTAAAGAACATTCTCTTATAATAATGTGAATACACAAAAAGTATTGAAGTTGAAAATAAGATTTATTTTTAAAATTTAGATCTGATATTGATTACTTATGATTGCATATACTTAGAAGTATTAAACAAAAGCTTAAACTTATTATAAATACACTGCACTCCCAAATGCATTCAATTCTTTAACGTAATCATTTTTTTTTCTTCCTTCTACAAAGTTACTTTTTTTTGTGATCCAAAAACTATTGACGTACAACTGTGTTAGACTTTGAAAATTAAGTTTTTCAAGCCTCTCTCTCCCGCTCACTTTTTTGGTTTGGATTTCTGAAACTTTTTTGCAATATCTGGTTTCCTTTGCATGGGAGCAAATTTTTATTTTGTATTTTTCAAATAGAGAGAATCTCTTCCTAGAATTATTTTTAAATTAAATTTAATTATAATGCTGTCTTTAACTACAGCTTACAAAGATAAAAATCGACTAATGATATATACTAATAAATATTAAAAAATTGTGAATATACACGAAAAATCCTGAATAAACTTAGAAAAGTTAAGGATTAACTGCAAATTAATGTTTGTAAAATTTAATACAAAAAGAGAGGAATTCTAAATATTTTGATTTATTATTTGCAATTGGAATTATTATTCAGATAGAAAACTTCTTTTTTTTTTCTTAAAGCATTTAAAAACTGGAAGAAAAAAAAAATCACATATACATATTAATAAAAATAAATAATATTTTAATCAACAATTTTACCCAAATGACATTAGTGATGGCAGGCCCTCTTTCAAATGAGGACTTCTCTTTTCGCCTCAGTTACAATGCCAGCATATGGATTCAAAATACCGAATCTGAAAACAAAAGTTTGTTAATTTACTCAAACAGCTACANGACAATACAAATTATGTTAAAATTTAATCTAAAAGAGAATTAAAATATTTATATTAGCTAGCCCACTTTCAAGTATTATTTAATATGTACACTTGTTAAAAATAAGTAAAATAGATGCCATCAACAACTCCGCAGCTGATACATCCCCTAAAATGAAAGTAACTATCAATTGCTTAAATCAGATTTCTGATGCATCATCTAAAACAAAAGTCATTATATCGGCCTGCCGATATATGTGTTACGTAGATATTTTGAGATGCATCGATTTATTGCCCGGTCCATATAGAATAATCATTTAAACTCTCCATTCACCCTCAAGTACAGAACAAATAAGATGGTGAAATTCTTTTTTGCGTTTTAAGGGGACAGCAAGGTTTGAAAAGGTTAAGATTCAGTGGTCTATACTTTAGAGCAAAGGTTCCTATACCAAAGGATCCTATGAGCAATTGTAATTTTTTTGATCATAATAATAATAGCTCCATTTTTAATAAAATGCTTTCTATGGAGAAAAAAATTAGGGAATGATTATAATACCATTGAATAATTCAATCACAAAACTAATTACAATAAGTTCACTTACAAGCAAACTGTAAATTCTTATCTTCTTTCAACTTTTCCTCTAATTGATTAAGATCACCATCCGAAGAAAACGGAAACTCAATACCTCTTGGTAATTCTAAAAGAACAGATGTTGAATTATCTTTCTCTTTTTCAGAGCCTTCGTTTCTTTAATTTCATTTCTTAACTATTTAATCTCCTCTTGATT